AGGATGAGGTTGATCTCACAGGAAGCCACATACCTTCTGTGCAAAGGTTTCTGCTGAATACAGTTGTCTGGACTTCCTTTTCTAGTCAAGGGAGAGAAATAAGGTCACTGACAGGTCTTGAGAGACTTCTCCTGGTGGCTATCTAGTGCTCCAGGAATATTTCCATAGCTCCTGGGTCATATTTCGCAGCACCACATGGGTACACAGCTACCCTAGGTCATCTCAGGGAGTAGTAGTCTCTGTATTTGCCCAAATGGATAAAGGTCTCAGTGTAAAGCTCTAGTCAAAAGTTCAAACCTATTTAAAGAAAAATTCTGTACAGTAACTGAGGAAAAAGCTTCATTTCCAGAACTTCAAATATGTTTTTTCACTTCGTGTGTTTTTTTTTCTTACTTTCTTGCTTGCAGCACCATGTACATGCATTATAGTAATTATTCTATTTGAACATATATATATATGCATACAGCTATTCATCATGTTGTATTTCCTAATAGCACTCTGAATGGAGACATTTTATTCTGAGGAAATACTATATTTAAACTGACATATTTCCTCTCTTCTGCCTGTCAGTTCCATCTTCTTCCTCTTACTAGTCGATCTTTACAGAGTTCTCCAGGTTAAGTGAATCACAGCACTTAGGGTGGATGAGACCTCTGGACATCATCTAATCCCCCTACTCAAAGCAGAAGGAGCTAGATGGGTTTGCTCAGTGGATCATACAATTATAACTTGTCTAGAAACATTCTGAGAGCATGGTCCATCCCATGGTCCAGGCAATACTGTTAAACAGTGATAGCTAACATGTTGATGACTGTGGGATGCTGCTAGTAATTGGCCCCCACTTGGAAGTTTTGCCACTAATCACACTATTTTAACTGATGGTCTAGCCAAACTTTCACATGCCTTACTGTCCATTTATTGAGTGAAGATCTTTCAACTTTGGCTATAGGCAAGCTATGGATGTCTGTCACAAAGGCCTTTTAGTAAAGGTACACAAAGCCCTCTGCTTTCCCTTCTGTTCACAATTATTCGCCTTATGGTAGAGGGCAATCAAGTTGGTCAAGCATGGCTTCCATATTTCCTTGGCCAAACCATGATGGCTATTCTAATCCTTGTCCTTCACATGCTTGGAGAAGGTTTCCAGGAGGGTTTGCTCCATCACCTTCCCAGGGACTGACTGGTCTATAGTTTGTTGGATCCTCCTTCTTGCATTTCTTGACAAGGAGTGTAACACTTACCTTTTCGCAGTCATCCGGAACCTCCCTGATCACCCTGACATTTCAAAGATGATTGACAGCAGCATTGCAATGACTCCGGCCAGCTCTCGCATCACCCTCGACTGCATCCCATCTAGTCCCATGGACTTTTTCATACCCACTTGGCACAAGAGCTTCCGAACTGCCATAGGTGAAGCTTCACTACAGCAGACACTGCCAGGACACTTGAGGACCTGGTGGCCTGAATGACCTTGGCAGTTGCACACAAGGTAGACAAGATAATTGGTTCCTCAAAGGAAAAAACAAAATAATAATAATAAATTGTTTCTCCTCCTTTCTTTGTTGCTGTGCCTCCTGCCCACCCTGAGCACTGAGATGACATTTTCCTCTGCCTGCCCTCCTTTTGCTGCAAATGTACTTACAGAAGACCTCTTGGTTGCCCTCCCCACCCCTTGTTAGCTTCAGCTTCAGCTCCAGTCCCAGCTGAGGGTTTTGGTTTTCCAGCTCCATCCCTGCATCCACAGGCAATGTCTCTGTATACCTTCTGGGTAGCCTATTTCCCCTTCCACACTCTCAGCACTTCCTTCTTGATTTTTGATTTTTAAGTAGGGGGTTCCTGTTCATCCAGACATACCTCCTGACAAACCCTGCTTGAACATCATCTTGCTATATACCTGTGCTTTGGTGATGTTGTCCCTTAAGATTCGAGAGGGATTCAAGAGGGAAGACAATCAGGACCTCACAGAAATCTGCTTTCCTGCAGCTGTGTGCTGTGATTCTCTTATTTGTCTTACCATCTCATCTACCATCTCATGACCATTGCAGACATGACTGCCCTCAGCCTTCACATCCCCATCAAGTTCTTCTTTGTGAGTAACAGAGTCCTGCCCGCATGTGCTCATTGATTATCTCTGTCAAAAAATTATTTCCAATACCCTCCAGGAATCTCCTGGGCTGCTTGTGCCCACATCTGCTACCCTTCCAGCAAATTTTGAGGTGGTTAAGCTACCTTTTGAGAATCAGGGTTTGACTTTTTCTAGTTGCCTAAGTGGTTCCTCTGGGCAAGAAGTGAGTCACTGCCCTGGTCAAAAAAACACCAAGACACAGGAACACCAATCTGAGTCACCACTGTGGGAAGATGTGTGTACATCCTGGCTTTACAGCAGTGCCCATTGCAGGGTGTTGCAGAACTCAGGTCCCACAGGCCCAGCCCCCATGAAGGGCACAGGAATTCCTATGGGGCAGAAAAGGATGTCAGCCTCCCCCTCAGTCCTCAGACTGGGAGCCAGTAATGGCACAAGGAAATGGAGGCCAGTCACCCCATGTCTCCATGGCTCTCTTGACCAGGCATCTTTAACTCTGGCTGCCTGCAGCCCCTCTGGGCATCCCCTCTTCCCAGGATAGCACATGGGTCCTGGCTGTGGGCTTTTCCAGCAACTCCAGCGACAGAGCAGCCTGCCTCGAGTTAACTTATGTGAGGAGAGGTTTTCATTTATTTCTCCCTACAAGCACAAAATTGCCCCTTTTCTCTTTTCCGTAGATGTTTCTGCTCCCCAGAGAGCCTTTCCCCAAGTCAGTGTGTCCATGCTTGCCTGGTTGCCCATCCCTCCCCTTGTGCTCCCCACAGGGTCCCTAGCTGGCAGGGCTGCTCTGAAAGGTTAGTGGGCTTTGAAGCCATGGGATAACTCTGCAATGGCCAAGCTGGTCAGGACAGACCAACCTGGACCAGCATCATAGCACCTGACAAACCTCCCCCCAAGTTGTAGAGGAAGGATGGAGCAATTGCAGGGTATTTCACATTGCTCAGGACATGTTCAGAGGTGTCATTAGACTCAGCACACTGCCTATGCTGAGGTTGCAGAGCCCTCATTTGGGGTATTTTTTGATGTGTCACTTTGGGTGACTCAACTTGGTCTGGGGAGTTTCCACTCAGTGTCTGTCCCATGAGCATGCTATCCCTGGAGATCCCCTCTACTATCTGTGTAGCCATATTCCATTCCAGAAGGACAAGCATTTGTCCCAGCCCTCTAATATGTTGGATAGACCCTGGCAGAGATCTCGTGACCACTCACACTTCCCAGGGAAATGTGGTACCCATAAAGGAGAGCTGAATCCAGTAATCATTCCATCACACATCATCCTAGCAGGCTCCTGTTCCTTAGCCCAGGGAAAGCCCAGGCACAGCAACAGGACCTTTTCAGATGCAATTCTGCGAGCGCCTTCTTGGGTCTAGCTTCAGAAGAAGACTTTACCGTTCAGACAGGGTACTAAGGAGATCCCCTTTTATTACAGAGATGTTACTTGGGAGGCCAGCTCTGACACAATGAAGGGCAGATTTGCAGAAGGCCTCTGGGCCAAACAGCTGGGGTTTGTACTCCTGGGTAAGCAGGATGAATTCAGACCTTTGTGTACAATCATGATGATCACAGATAGATATCCCACAGTACAAGAGTTCCTTGAGATAAAATGGGAGTTTCTTTTGATGGGCAGCTCATTGCTGCTGAACTAGTACCATCTGAAATAGTTTCTTCAGGGCATCCTTGAGATCCTTGTTCCTCATGCTGTAGATGAGGGGGTTAACTATTGGAGGCACCACCGAGTACAGAACAGCTGCCACCACATTCAGGGATGGGGAGGAGATGGAGGGGGGCCTCAGGTAGGCAAAGATGACAGTGCTGACAAACAGGGAGACCACAGCCAGGTGAGGAAGGCACATGGAAAAGACTTTGTACCGGTCCTGCACAGAGGGGATCCTCAGTACAACTGTGAAGATCTGCACATAGGACAGCACAATGAAAATGAAACACCCAAAGAATAAACAGGCACTAATCACAATAACCCCAACTTCCCTGAGGTATGAGTCCATGCAGGAGAGCTTGAGGATCTGGGGAATTTCACAGAAGAACTGCTCCACGACATTGCCTTGGCAGAGGGGTATTGAAAATGTGTTTCCAGTGTGTAGGGCAGCATAGAGAAAACCACTGGCCCAGGCAGCTGCTGCCATTTTGACACAAGCTCTGCTGCCCATGAGGGCTCCATAATGCAGAGGTCTACAGATAGCCAGAAAGCGATCATAAGCCATGACAGTGAGAAGAAAATACTCTGCTGCAAGCAAAAACAGAAGCAGAAAAACCTGAGCAGCACATCCTAAGTAGGAAATGGCCCTGGTGTTCCTGATGGAATTGGAAATGGATTTGGGAATAGTGACTGAGATGGCGCCAAGGTCAAAGAGGGAGAGGTTGAGGAGGAAGAAGTACATGGGAGTGTGGAGGTGGTGATTGCAGGCTACAGCTGTGATGATGAGGCCGTTGCTCAGGAGGGCAGCCAGGTAGATACTCAGGAAGAGTGAGAAGTGTAAAAGTTGCAGCTCCCTTGTGTCTTCGAAAGACAGGAGGAGGAATTCATTGTGGGAACTGCTGTTGGACGCTTGCTCCCTTGGGGCCCAGGGGGACTGTCCAAGGAAGAAGAGATGTTGAGTTAGGACAGAATTCTGTGAACAAAATTTTCACATAATCCCCTGTAATCACATACATTCCATTTTTCCCCATCTCGATAGGGAAGTCACTGAGCTCCATGGCTTGAGCTGTGGTTTACGCTAGCTGAGTTTACCATAAAGAGATAGAGATCCCCAGCACTGCTACTGCGCTCAGAGTGAACAGCTCTGATTCCTGGGAGGGAAAAGGAATCTCTCTGGCTTTGGTGCAGAATGAGGAGAGCTGGCCTGGTCATTAGTCTTGTTCCCTGCTGTCTTATGCTTACACCTCTGCAGTAGAGGCCAATTTCACTCATGTTTCTTAGAAAGAAATTGCTCTGTTGACAACAAAAGAGTCTAGTTTCAAAGAGCAGATCAAGAAACTAAGCATCTTATCTCAAAGTAACTGAGGGAGGTCTCAGTCCTCCCCTTCTAGTCAGGAGCACAGCAGCTGCCCAGCAGCACTTTCATGGCCTTAGTTTCTATGTGGCTTCTCTGTGGGATTCCTAGATAATACACAGATGCAATGGCAGCCCTGTGTCCTTCTGAAGGGCAGATATCATTTCAGCCACACAACCCAGAGAAATCATCAACTATTTTAAGGATGGGCTGTCCTGAAGAAAAAGCTGGCTCCCTCCGCTGCTGCTCCTCCCCCACAATGCTTCTCTCAGAGCCCAAGAGATTAGTGGCATTAGAGGAGGACTTAGACATCTCGGTGTCAGGGACATGTATGCTTAGCAGGACTCGCAGGATGGGTATCTGACCTGCAGCAGAAATCCTATTATCCAGAGAATCTAAGGGGAAGGATAAAGGCAGTGTGGACAGATAGGAAACACAGAGCAATACCATGATATTTTGGCTGAGAGAAGGAGGGGCAGAGAGACAGGGTGTACTCAACTGTTTCTCCTCTCTGGATGTCCAGCTGCTAAGGAAATGACTCATGCCCTGAACCTCACAGCCTCAAGAGCAGAAGGCTATACTAGGTAGGAGAAGAGAGGGGATACTGGAATTTGTGTTTTCCTCTCACACTTTGACCATGACTCTGCTGCAGGGAGATGTCCCTGCAGGGTGCTCTGTATCTGTCCCATGTTTCTCCCTGTTAGTGCTCACAGACCCCATTCTACCTGTTGGGTGCTCATCTCTGTCCTGCAGACAACTCTTTGGCACAGAGCACACTGCCTAAAGGCATCTCCAAGTCTTCAGGGATAAGGAGCAGGTGAAACAAACCTGATGAGATTGGAAAGGTGATGCTGGTTCTGTCTGTAGGCTGAGGGGTGGATGAAGGGATTTGCTGAATTCTTCCCATAACAGTTCCTCTCTCATTGTTGCTGCTTTGAAGTCTTAATCTCCTGTAGAAGCCTGACAGATCCAATAACACTTCATTCTACACAAAGAGCATAAAACTGAAAGCACAGACTCAAGAAAACACCTTCCCTTTCAGGTATCCCTTTTTGAAAAGTCCTCCCCAGAAACAGTCCCAGGATGAGCAACAGCTGTGAGTAACCCTGACTCACACAACACTCTCTTAACAGGTGAATAAACCTGCCCTGATGGTGATGGCTCCATTTAAAGATTCTCCCTGCAGACACTGCTCTGCATTACTGCTTTGGGTGGATGTATGTTCATGCCATGATTTACACTCCTGCAACTGTGGAAGAAAGTTGCAGAATGCCATTTTCTTATGAAAGTGTGTCTGGGCATACCTGCTCTGAAGTATGTTCTGCTCAACACAAGAGGAACTTGGATACCCATCCTGATGAACCCTGTCAGGCGTGGGATGTGACAGCTTCAGAGGACCTCTCAGAGAACCTCACCTTCATTGTTCTGCAGCTGGGCACTTACTGTGTTAGAGGCTATGAAGATTACTCCTCCAAGAAGATCTCAGCTGTCCTCCCACTCCCAACTGTCTTTAACTTCTTTCTGTCTCACTCATCTTGCTCATTTTCCTTCTCTCGTGTTGGCACCCGCAGACAGTGCCCGGAGCCACAGTGCTCTTTGTGGAAGAGCTGCTCCTGGACACAGCCGTCTCTAAACAGTGCTGTCAGGTTGCAGTGAGCTCCATCTAATACAGGAGTCTGGTCTTGCTCAAAAGCAGAACCAGAATTTCTCTGTCCCTTGTGCTTCCCACTCCTGGGAAATATCTTTCTAATCACTGAGGAGAGATTAATTCCAGCATTCCAGTTTGTCTCCTTAGAGATAAGAGGTGGAAAGGCCCCACTCTAGAGGCCCCTTCTTCAGTCTTGCTCCCTTGGCAGCTGGGCATCCAGGAGAGGAGAAACTCCTCTCTGTGTCCTTTCTTCTTATGACAGAAATATTGTGCTATTATCCTGCATTTCCCACCCCTCCATCCTGTGCTTGTTCTTCCTATGGTCTCTCTGGAAGGGGAATTTCACATGCAGTTCAGACACTGACTCTGTGGGTACTGCCAAGCAAACATGTCCTTGACAATGAAGTGCCCAAGTTCTCTAAACTCTGCAGCCCTGGGTAATGAGTGCGGAGGAGAATGGGCCAAATCGCTCTTCAGGACATGCTATCTTTAGAAAATTTGGCTATTCCCCTGCAAGTTGCCCTCCAGAAGGCCACAGTTCTCCCATTGCTTCTGGTTGATTTGTAGGTGCCCCAAGGAGAAGCGCCCTAGATACTAAGGCCACAGAAATGCGTCTGGGCATCTGGATGTGGACAGCTAGAATGCCTACAGTATGTTCCTGGCTAGGAGGGGAGGGCTAAGACCTCCTTTAGATACTCTGAGAGAGAATGCTGAGTCTACTTTCCTCTTCTCCATGGACATCCCTGCTTCCCAAAGAGACTTTTCCCACTGAGTGCATTAGTAATGGACTGCCCAGCTGTTCCTAGAGCTTCACCATTCACAGTGAATGAGCTCTAGAGCTCCGCTCAGGGCCTTAAGCTGGTAATTAGTGATTACCCCAGGGCCATGGGGTGACTCTACACTGGCCACTGTGGTCAGAGTGAGAGGCAGACCAAGCTGGATGGACACTCTTGCATCTGGCAAGCCCCTAGCAAGGGTTCTGTGTCCATGGATGATGCTCTGAGCAATCTCAGGGCATTTCGAATAGCTCAGACTGTGTTTAGGCATGTCTAGATCCAGCCAGTGTTTTTCACTGAGTGTGATAGGAATCACTTTCCAGCCTCATTTCCCTATGCCTGGAAGGTCCTCATCATGGGCATCTTTCACCAACCCTGTCATGTGGGAGATAGTCCGGGCTACTATTGGAAATATTTCAGTCATAGCCCATGGCACTGATGAAAAATAGGAAAAAGCTGAAAATAAGAAAAAGAGGAAAGAGAGCTGGACAGCACATCCCAAGTAGGGAATGGCCCTGGTGTTCGGTTTGACCACTGCTGTAAAAGGCAACAAAAATGTTTCTACAAATACATTAACAAGAAGAGAAGGGGCAAGGAGAATCTCCATCCTTCATTGGATGTGGCGAAGAACATTGACACCAAATATGAGGTACTGGCTGACAACGTCGTGCATGGCAGAGGCTTCTGCCTGTGCGCTCCAGAGGAGTCAGTCCAGCCCTACAGGGTTGTGTAAATGCCCCATGCATTTGATGGAGATATCTGGGGATGGGCACCATGAGCTGAGTGAAGAGATTTTGGTTCAGGGACTCAGTAGGAATATCCCCTTTTCATCACTGTAAAAGATGGATACAGTGCTCATGGCAGTTGTTTCTGAAAGGGAAGATTCTATTGAAGTCATCTTCTTCCCCAACCTTGGCCTCTTGAACAGAAGTGCCTCTGTCTGAATCAGTCAAACCTGCTCCCACTTGAGGAAATGAAAGAACAGTGAAGTGAAGGTAGGGGCTGACCCAACCTTTTCTAGATGTTTCTTTTCCACAGTGAGATGGACTCAGCCCTCACTGATGTTTCTTTAGATACTATACTGGGAGTGGGAAGTTGCATCCTAAACTGTACCTGAATCCTCCTTAACCCTGGAGAGGACCAGAGCAAGAAGCAGATTGGTACAGAAAGGGGAGGGAACAAGCACCAATATCATGATCCTTCTATAAAAGGGAAAGCAAGGAGAAAAGATAGCCAGGTGCTCAGGAAAATCTTCACCTTACTCAGTTGTGACACTGCTTCCCAGAGGGTAGCATCACAGGATAGTCTCTCCAAGCCCCTTTGCTGTGCAGTGAGAAGTGGCTACAGCAGAGGAGAGATACCCTTGCCCTCTGCTGGAGCTTGGACTGCTGATGAGACCCCCTGGCCTTGATGTCAGAGGCTCAGCTTGGTGGGAGAGAGGACACAAGGGGACTTGATCAGAGGAAGATGTCTACACTGAAGAGAATTTTCTAAATATCACCTACCCTAGCATTCGTATCTATTTCTCATTCTCTGATCATATCTCTATTGCCCAAAGCTTCTCTGCCTGGCAGCTGTTTCTCTGCCCCACCTCTTTTCCCTGTCAGTCCTCAGAGAACCCATCCACCTTCTTGGTTCTCTATTACAGAATCCTACCAGTAGCAGGGCACTGTCCAGGAGCATCTCCGTATTTGCAGGTGGTAAGGATCAGGTCAGACAAATGCTGAAGAGGCTAGAGAAGGCAATTGTGATGCTTCCTGTAGGCAGGGAAGTGAGAAAGGTACTGATTATCCTGTGAGTCCTATTGATGTCTCACTGTAAAGTCTAAGAGTGTCAGTCTTTTCCAAACCTGACAGCTCCTTTCCCACTCACCTCCTGAAAACAGGAGGAAACTGAAAGCAGACTCTCGGGAAAGCTCCTTATCTTTCAGCTTACCCCTGCTTTGACTGACCTCTCACAAAGACCCTGTCAGAAAATGTCCTGCAGGTGAATTAGACCTGAAAGCAGCCCTGTCCCATGCACTACCCTCTCAAAAGAATGGCCTGCTAGGGATTGCTTCTTCTGTCTACAACTTCTCCCTCTAGCAACATGGATAATTCCATGGGAAGCTCATATCAAGCATCAGAGTTGCACCTCAGAGTGCAGGGATACTGCTCTGGATTACAACCCAGGCATACCTGGGTGTACTTCCACATTTCATGCACCTGCACCATAACCTGCAGAAGTGGGGTGCCCTGTCCATTACTAATGGTACAGCCACAGTATGCCTGGATCACATGCTGTTCAAGCCCAGAGACATTCACAGTGGCATGTTGTCCTTCCTAGAGATCCAGTCACTTCCTTCATAGGCCCCAATTGCTGCAGTCACCTTGAGCATAAAATACGTCTCCTGCCATGGCTGCATGGTCCAGCTCTGTTTCTCTCTGACCTTGGGTACTGCAGGGTTTGCTCTCTCAGTGGGTACCTCATATCATGATTACTTTGTCATCTGCTCTATGCCAGCAGGTCTCTTCCCTGAGACTGGGCCTTTGCCTACACAGGAAACACGGGGGCCTCATTGCCTCCTTGCCCCACCACAGATCCCTGGAGGTTTCATTTTGTTGTCCTGCACTTGGCATTGCACACTCCACTCTCACACTTTCCACAGGCATTGCCCTGGACAATGCATGGAGGAAAGGATCTGCTTTCCCAGTGTTCCCTCAGTGTCCGTGCTTGGACATTTTCCTTGACAAAACACATGAAGAGTTCACATGGCATAAGAGCCACCTGCACATTTCTTTTGCCTGCTTGCAATCAGTGATGACTTTTCTGCTCTGATCAGCCCCTGGTTAGTCTTTGTTGCTAATGGCTTCCAGAGGGACTCATTAATGCTCTATGAAACTTTGTGGCTTGCTTATGGCTTTGACTTTTTGAATGTTTTGGTCAGTTTCCACTCAGTAGCCATGATACAGTACCAAATACACTATGGGGCTCATTAAAATACAAAAAGCTCTGATGTTTCTCCCTATAATTTTCTTAAATCTTCTACAGATAATCAGAAAGATTTCATGAGTGGAGTTGAAAGATGGAGACTTCAAAGACATAAAAACACACATGCTTTAAAATAATTTTATTATTATTATTCAGTTTTCAAAATAAATGGTAACAACATTCTCCAATTGCTATTGAAAAGGTCTCTTAATGAAGTTTGGACTTGCACAAAATGAAATGCCCCAGAGTTCAGAGAATGTATGGACAATATCTCTCCTCATCTTCCCAACCCTGCCATTGCTCTCATCAGCCACCTGGGACTTGCATCACTGGTTAAAAACTCAACAATTTCCACTGAAGTCTGTAGCTGAATGTGCCTCAATTCCCACCTGTTTTCATTAGAGAACTACCTGCAAATAGGCACACAAAGATTTTTTTTCTTAATTGCAAAAGAAAAAGTAAACTTTGTTACAGTTCCTCAGAGATAATTACACTCTCACTTTAGCTAAATCCAAGCTGCCGCCAATGAGGTTCACTTTCCACAAGGGAGAGCCTGACTAGAAACCTTTAGATAGATAGGAAATGCTAGATAGAACAGAATTTAGGACTTGCTTAAAGGGATAGACTTCTGCAAGACAAAGCACGATTTTAACTCCCTGAAGTGCAAATCAGCAGCTTGGTATGGGGATGAACAGAATGACGAGAGGAGTTATACGGCTGCAGTGCTAAGTGCACAGAGAGTGTACTGTAAAGATGATGTTGGAAACTGTTAATTTAATCAGGACATGTGGATGTACGAATAGACCCATACAGCTATTGAGGGGTCCCAGGACATCCTGGGAATCACACAGCTCTTGGAGGTTCCAGACCAGTCCTTGTTTCTGCACCAAAGTCTGTAAAAGCCTTGATACAAGGTCCTAAAGAAGAGGGATTTTCCTGGGCAGTCAGAAGAATCGTAGAATCATAGAATCATAGAATGCTTAAGGTTGAAAGGGACCTCTAGAGGTCATCTAGTCCAACCCCCCTGCACACGCAGGGTCACCTAGAGCATGTGGCACAGGACTGTGTCCAAGCACGTTTTTAAGATCTCCAGAGAAGGAGACTCCACAACCGCTCCGGGTAGCCTGTTCCAGTGCTCTGTCACCCTCACTGTTAAGAATTTTTTCCTTAAGTTCCTGTGGAACTTTTGGTGTTTCAGTTTGTGGCCATTACCTCCATCTCCATTGTTTGCAGTGGGAGCTTAGACAAGGAGTTCAAATGCAGATATCCATTTTGTATATACTTGAGTAATGAAAATCCTGTTGAGTTTCTGGAGTGCACTGGAGGGAAATGAATCCCAGGGGCTTCTCAGTGAGCCTTAGATGAATTGATTAACTCTTCTAAGTCAGCCCTGAAGCACAAGTACATGAACTCCCTTCTCATCCATGTCTACATGTCCTGATGGGAGTAGGATTTTCTGGAGTAGGAACATTTCCATCTCTCAGATAACTATCCTCTGATAAGACCAATTGTAATACTGGATTCAGTCTCTCTCCACTCTCTAGACAGGGACCATCATTGATTATTTTGTTTCACTTCAGTGGACATTTCCCAAGGGTGACTTTGCTGCCTTTCTGGAGTTGTCAGTCCTGGAGACCCAGAAACATCACAAGGGGGTGCAAGTCACAGAGCAAGACATGTCTTCAGTTGGGCTTCTGCTCCTGAGCTGAGCCTGGGTCCTGGGACTATGAGAGGCCATGGCAAAGGTAGGCACTGTGGAAAGACAGCTCTGTCCAAGTGCAGCTCCTCTTACAGGAGCAGCAAGACTCAGTGCATTGCCTGAAGGCACCAGGATCAGATGAACAACTGACATTAAAGACATTTGGGAATGGGAAGATGGCTGAGAGCTCACTGCAGGAGAAATCCTCATAGGAAGTCAGTGACTGCAGGGCAATGCTGCTGTTGTTCCTGGAGTGTTCTTCTGAGACTGGCACTTTCCACAGCTGATAGGGTCTGTCAGGGCAGACAGCCCTGCTATCAGCTTCTCCTGTGTGGAGCAGGTAGTGCTTTGGAGCTGGGATTCCTAGCTGTACTGTGAGAAGGACAGCGCATGCCCTTGTCCAGAGGATGGTGCAAGGGTATGAAGCTCAGGACTGCACCTTTGTCTACATGGGCTGTAATTCAGAGCAGTGGCCTGTACCCAAATGGTATGTGCCCAGACAGTGACTCTGCTGTCTGTGAGTGTCAGCACTCTGCTTGCCCTAGAACTCCCCACAGTGCTGTAGAAAGAAGTTCTGAGTAGAAGGAGTGATACCTGGCAGAACAGTTTCATGCTCCTATCAAAAAGATGCTATGTGTAGCAGGGTTGCTCACAGCTCTGGCTTACCCCCCTGGACATTTTTGCAGGGCCTTTTCAAGACTAATGTCAAGGCAAGAATTATTTTAAAGACAAGAAGCTATGTGAGTCTGCCCTATCTATGACTTACTGTCTGGGATAGCGTTGGGGTGGAAAAACAGCTGCCAAGTTTAGAAAGGAAACTGATACCTGACACCCTCAGACCATTACAGCGAGAGCTCAGTTCTGTGAGGAGCTCATAAAGTCCTTTCATACGCTCCTTTGTCTACAGGAAGTACCGCCATCTCCCTCTGGTCTCATCACCATTTGTCTGGCATGCTCCTTAGCTCCTGCAACTATGGCCCTGGACAGTGGCCTTCTGCTGGTAGGTTTCTGCAGCAGAGTGCGCAGAGAATAAGACGGAGTTTGTGAGGGCTAAAATGGGACAATGAGACAGCTACAGGGAGGAAGAGAGGTGGGCAGTGAAAATACGATCAGTGAATGAAAGGAAGATAGAAACAGAAATACTGGGGGGGCTGGAGGGAGAACTCCCTGTCACTTCTTGCAATTCATATGCCGTCTTCAAAGCAAATCCCCCATTTATCCTCTCCCACCCATTGGAACCTCTGGTCTCTAAGGGGCTCTCAATGCCAGTCTCACTCTTTTGCTCTCTGAGGCTAAGGAGGTGGGGGGTCAGCATGGACCCTGTGGTTCCTGCATGATGTTGTTTTCATGGTAGTGATGTGCCCAAATACTCTGTAACTCTTCCAAACAAAGCAATGCATCTGGTTGAGGAATGGTCTGGTATTCCCTCAAGAAGAACCGCCCCCACCCTTAGCACTTTCTGTCTATGGCATCCTGCCAGGATGCCAGCTGCCCTTCAGAGTTCTTCCATAGCATATTTATTATTACAGCTAGAATTCTTGTGCTGGTTGTGTGACAACCAACCTTGACACATGTTTAAGGTGACAGAGAAGAATTTGGAAATCTTCACTGAATTCCTGAACTCTTGCCTCAGTCCAATTTCTCTCACAGATTATATTGTGAGCGGAATTCTCATTTAGCTGGGAAAGGTGCAAACAGAGGGCAGCAGGGAGCAAGACAGATGCACAGACCTGATCCTTGACTTTCTACACAGTCATTGTAAGCTCTTTTTCCTCTAGGCATGCACGAGTGCTCATGCTGGGAGCAACCGACATATCAAAGATTTCTTCCCCACCAAGGTATGCTCTGATGGTGTGATGGAGGCATGCAAAAACTGAAGAAATATATAAACAGCTCCCGTCACTGCAGCCCATCCTCTGGAGAAAATGATTATTAAAATGTTGAACAGCTTCTCCACAATACAGGTGGATATAATCTGCTGCACAATGTATACTTCAGATGCACAATGTATACACTTCCCACGCCCACTACAATGCCTAGAGGAAGGGCGCAGATGATAAACTGATATGAGGCCTGGATCCATGTCATTGTGATAGAGACGATGAGAAAGGGTCACGTTGCCCCTTGCCTTCGCTGTACTGTTTCTCTCCTAGATCTGGTTTGACTGATTCAGATAAAGATACTTCTTTTCAAGAGGACAAAGCTGGGGCAGATGAATCCCTCACAAGGGTCTTCTGTTCCAGAGCCAACTAACATGAGGGCTGGATTCATCTCTCAAAATGCTAAAAAGAGAATATTTCCACTTTTCCAAGTTCCCTTCACTCAGCTCATGTCGCTCATCCTCTGGTATCACTCCCACATCCACAGGGTAGTTTGACACCTGCATTTACATACCCTAGTAAAGTAGAAATAACTCCTCCAGAGCCAATGGGTCAAAGTCTTATCTCTGCAAAAGGGGTAGGAGTGGGTGGGGAACAATGTAATGAGAAGTAGAATGGGTTTTGCTCAGAGAAGCTTGTCCTAACATCTTAAATCCTTTTCTTCCTTGGGCAGACCCCACACACAGAGACAACAAATGCCCAATAAATGGCCGCTCCATGAACAAGTTCCTCCTCCTGGCATTCATAGACAACACATGGGACCTGCAGCTCTTGCATTTCTCGCTCTCCCTGTGCATTTGCCTGGCTGCCCTCCTAAGCAACGGCTTCATCATCACAGCTGTAGCCTGTGACTACCACCTCCACATCCCCATGTACTTCTTCCTCATCAGCCTCACCCTTCTTCACCTGGGCACCATCTCTACCACTGTCCCCAAATCCATAGCCAATTCCCTGTGGGACAACAGAGGAATTACCTACTTAGGATGTGCTGCTCAGGTCTTTTTTTCTTGTCTTTTTCATTTCAGCTGAGTGTCCTCTGCTCATATGATCACTTTCTGGCCATCTGCAGACTCTTGCACTACAGCACACTCATGGGGAGCAGAGCTTGTGTCAAAATGGCAGTAGTTGCTGGGACACTAGTTTCCTGAATGCAGTGCTGCACACTACTAAAAATTTGCAATACCCCTCTGCCAAGCCAATGTCATGGAACAGTTCTTCTGTGAAATTTCCCATCTTCTAAAGCTCTTCTGCCCACACTCCTACCTGAGGGAAGCTGGAGTTCTTGTGATTAGTACTTTTTTAGCTTTCGGGTGTTTCATTTTCATTGTGCTGTCCTACGTGCAGATCTTCACAGTTGTTCTGAGGATTTCCTCTGTGCAGGGCCAGCACAAAGTCTTTTCCATGTGCCTCCCTCACCTGGCCATGGTCTCCTGTTTGTCAGCACTGCAAAGTTTGCACACTTGAAGCCCCCCTCCATCTCCTCTCCATCTCTGGATCTCTCTGTGGCTTTTCTGTACTCAGTGGTGCCTCCAACAGTGAACCCCCTCATTTACAGCATGAGGAACAAGGAGCTCATGGAGAGACTGAAGAAACTGATTTGAATGTTAATAATTCTGCAGCAATAAGTGGCCCATCTCACTTTACAAGTCTGAATTCTTCCCACTGCTCCAGAATGATGAATCCAGCTTGTCAGACTGAGAGGCCTTCTGTACATGTGTGTGTCAGTGTGTCAGAGCTGGCCTGTCTCCAATAAATGATAATTTCCTCAGTGCTGCTCTTTTACAGTTGTTTTCTACTTCCAAAGCTGGAGCCTATAATTTATTCAAGGACTTTCACCAAGAAAGGCATTATTCGTTTACCAGGGCTGGCCATGGTCTTGACGAGAGGACATTATACGGAATGAGGACTAGATTCACTTGTCACCTGTGATTGCCCAATGCTTCTGGAGGTGCTGAATGGTCCAGTAATACCCGCCTGGGACTGTGTCACCTATGACAAGGCTGGTGACAGGAATGAGCTTGCGAGAAAAGCAGAATGGAGAGTGTTCCATGTCATCTTTATTGGGCTGAATTTTGGGATACAACTGGACACAGCCTGAGCCATTTAAAATGCTCTGTAATTGCTCAGGGCACACTGCTTGGTAAGGATCTGGATGCCTGTCCACCTGGTTCGGCTTCTTGGCCCTGCAATGTTGTGCTAGGGAAATTCCTGTACTCAATAAAAAGAACACAAAGTGTCAATATCCCATGTCTGCTTATGCTACTGGATCCAGTTTCAGCTGGTAGGATGATGTGGTGGCTGACACACACACCCCTGCCCTCTGTGGATGCTTTTCTTTTTCATTGCTTAGCATCAGGGAGACATCTCGGCTCTTGGACCAGTGGGGAAGACAGCATAACTGCCAGCCCTGTCTGCTGCAAGACTCAGAATTTTATTCTGTTGAGCTACAAGTCCCCAAGGTCCTCCCTACAGCCAGTTGAATGGCTTCCTCTACCTCCGAAATAGGTCATTTAAGAAAGTGCTGGAAGAGCAGGACTGAATCGATTTTTGTGGCATCACAATGCCTGCACTATGGAATCCTTGTGGGCAGCAGAGCTCATGTCAAAATTGCAGCAGCTGCCTGGGCCAGTGGTTTCCTCTATTTTATCCTGCACACTGTTAATAGAATTTCAATACCACGCAGAAAGGGCAATGTACTGGGGCAGTTTTTCTGTGAGATTCCCCAGAATTGAATAGTGGAGCCGTGAAGAAGTGTCTTTGTCAGCCTGGTGCCTGTTAATAAATCCCACTATAAGTCATTTTCCTGTGGTCCACTGGTGCACCATGTTGCTAAGAGGGGCTTCTTTAGGTTATCTTTGCAACAGTTATCTGCAATGGTTAAAATATTCCTTCCTCTGTAAAAGCTAGCTCCACCTGCCCCTGGATGAGGCTTTGGTGGCATCCTTCATATTGAGCAAAGCTCTTGTAGTACTAGGCATCTTGTGCTATTTCAGAAGATTCTTCACTTGCTATCTGATGCTCCAGAAAGATGTGGTTCTCCTAGTTGTTACATTGTTACAGAGTAAGGAGACAGTGACATATATCTCCCTCCTTGTCCCTGTCCAGGTGTCCTATCTTCTTGTGAGATGAGAGCAGGGGCTCCCAGAGTGGGACATTTACACCTCGGTGAGGTAATCATCCTCCAGTGAGACAAACTAATATATTGAACTCAGTCTCTCTTTACTGTTTTGAGAGGGACCATTGGTGATTATTTTAATCTACTTCACAGGATATTTCCAAGGGATGACTCTGCTGCCTTACAGGAATTGTCAGCGTTGGAGCCCTGGGACATTCAGGGGTGCAGTGCACAGGGGACAGTCATGTCTTCAGCTGGCCCTCTGCTCCTGAGTTACGTCTGGCTCCTGAGAATGTAGGAGACCATGGCAACCTGTCAGGCGCTGCAGACAGACAGCTCTGTCCAGCTGTAGATCCTCTTAAAGGAGCAGCAAAATCTAGGGCACTGTCTGCAAGCACCAGCATGAGATAAGTGACTCAAAGATAAAGACTGTTTGGAATGGGAGAATATCAGAGGTCACTGTAGGGAGAAATCTTCACAGTCCTTGACACAGTAAGTCTGTGCCTGCAGGGCAATATTGCTGTTCTTCCTGGAGTATTCTTCTGAAGCCAGCACCTTCCACAGCTTATAGGGTCTGCCAGGGTAGCTCTCCAAGGTTCTGTGTGGAGCAGGTAGTACTTTAGAGCATGGATTCCCTGCCACAGTGTCAAAAGGAAATGGCATCATGGCTACCTTCTCCTAGGGATGTTGCAGGGGTGTTAAGCCGGGAAGTGCATTCAGCTCTGCACAGTGCTTCATTTCAGAGTGGTCTGTCTGCAGCCCTGGGTGCTCTGTGCCCACAGCAGTGACTCTGCTACCTTCATGGGTCAGCACTCAGCCTGCACCAGGAACTCCCTGTGGCACTGTAAGGAGAAGTTTGGGGTAACCCCTGGAAGAGCAGGTTTGGTCTCCTGTCAAGAGGGTGCTGCATAGGCCAGGGCTGGTCTCAGTTCTAGGTCATCCTCAGGACATTTTCTGAAGAGGACT